CCGCTCTCGCCTCCCTCCACCCCCCGCATTGTTCCCGGCCCGGCGGGCGGGAGGAGGAGCAGGGCCAAGGGCCAGCATGCGGTAGGCGCCCGTGCCGCCGAGGCAGGCAGGAAGGCAGGCAGGAAGGCAGGCGCTGGGAGCGTGCCGCCGGCTGGAGCCGCCTGTCATGTTGGTCGAGCTGCTCTTCCAAGCTGCCTGTGTGTCCCTGTTCCTCCCGGGCGGCCAGGGCAGGGTGTACCCCGGGAGGAAGAAGCCGGCCAGCTTTGCCGTGGAGAGGTAGCCGGGTTCCCCCCCCTCCCCTTTTCCTTCTCCCTCTCCCAGCTACACCTGGGGACGGCAACGTGCCGTCCCGTGCCGAGCTCCGGCCATCCGCCCCCTCGGCTGCCTTCGGGGCTCAGGCCGTGCCTCCCGTCCCAGCCGAAGGGGGTGGCACCCCATGCGTCCCTCCCTCTGCCCGGGGGTGGCCGGGACCAGGGGAGCGTGACCCTCGCAGGGGTCCTGCTCCCCGCATCCGTGTCCCGCTCCCCGTGTCCTGCTGGGGGACGTTTCTCCCCCGTTACCGCGTGCTGGGGTGTCCAGGCTAGCTGGGGCACGGTCCTCTCCCTCCGTCCCACCTTGTTTTGGGGTCACACCGCACCCCGGTTCCACGTGCCTGTCTCTCCCCCTGGATCCATGCTGTGCTCCGCTGCCCAGGATGGGGTGGCCGTGGGCCACGTCGTGACCGCTCCTGTGTGTCCCCCTGTCCTCGCGTTCCCGGGGCGGAGGGCTCCCCGCCGGCCGGAGGAGCTCCCCCGGGACCTTTGCTCTCTGCCCTGGGGGCTCGGGGCAGGGTGGCCTCAGCCTCCCGTCTGTCGCGCAGGCGCCGCGTGGGGCCCCACGTCTGCTTCTCGGGCTTCGGCAGCGGATGTTGCCCCGGGTGGATGCTGTCTCCGGGCAGCGGGCAGTGCACCCTGCGTGAGTACGGGCTCTGGGGGTGCAGGGGTGGGTGGGGGTCCCTGCCCTCCTGCCGGCTGCCTGTCCCCGCTCCCCGCAGCGCCCTGCTCCTTCGGCTGCGGCAGGGGCCTTTTGTGT